GCAGCATCTGACCATATTTTCGATTTTTCGTCTTCTTTGTGAAATCGTACCAACGTATATCCGGCTACATATGTTGCTTTCTTTCAAAATTGTAAAGACCTAACAGCATGCGACGTACTGCGAAACATCCTATTTTCGTACTGCTTATGCGTGCCTGTGATTATCTCTAATGTACTGAGATCCATGCTAGAACATCATTGACAGTATCATTCGATTTTCTTTCGCGCGCGTATATTTTCAGGATTTACACAGCCGTACATACGCTTTTTTATCGTACGCGTATATTCTCAAGTTATACTCAGAGGTACGGAAATGATACGCCTTTCTATCGCGCGCGTATATATTCTATAGAGGTAACATTTGTCATGAAATATTATTGTCATAAATATATCGTCATTTAATCGTTATTTTTAAGCCATTTTTAATAAATAAAATAACATTATTAATTACTATTTTTCTTTACTTAATTAATTAACTATAATATATAAATAAAAAAAGGATGCATGCTGCTAAGTTTTCCGACAGATGATATTCACTGCGCAGGACTGAAATTATTACTTTGCCGTGCTCAATAAATCATTTAAAACGTAAGAGAAAGAAGAATAGATTTAATTCAATTTGACATAAATTTAGCAATGTATATCTTTAAATTTGTGAGTTGTAAAAGCGATCGTTAATTAAAATTATAATATCGCTAATAGAAAACGTAATTTCATGATACTCGTTTTACTTTGAACTACGTTTTACTTTGAAAAAGACTAAATGTATGTTAGCACAATATTTGCGCAAATGATCACCGCAAATGATCTTCTTTTCTACAAGAAAAAGTATATCTACCTAAAGCCGATAGCAAAAGATAATCGAAATCGTCGAATCGTTGCATGATCATTCTTTAAATATTTTTCACAGCTAAGTAATAAAGTCGAATGAAAATAACTCAGACATCCATATTTTCAAATATATAGTATTCGATAATAATTATATAATTTCTCGTAAGCAAATAGAGCAAGTTATATTGAACAGAAAAATCCTGTATTATTCTGATTTTCTGTAATAATTAAAACAGTTTATTAATTTATACAGATTCACGAGTATTCACGCAAAAGGATATCTCAGCCTATACGTTCATGGTTGTTAAACACGCTGCAAGATATTCGGATGCGATCTACAATCCATCTGTTTATAGTTTATATCTTCTTTATGTATCCGTTATAATAAATTTTTAAAGATTATTTTAAAGATTAAAGTTCTTACAAAACATTTTGCATAAATAATGCATTGAATAATTTATGACTTTATTTTTTGTAATTATCAGAATAGTGCCATATTCTGAACTTTTAGTCTTCAATTGTTCAAGTAAAAAGTCATATAGAATGAAAACAATCAATTTCAAAAATAATTAAATAGTAAGATATTCTGTATGAAAACTTCATACAGATATTTGGATTGCTAACATTTTTCTAACAAATAATTACACTCCGTTTTAAGTATTATA